GAAAAGGTTGAGAACCACTGTTGTACACAATAGTACCATGGGTTCAAAAAGTGGAATAAGCCAGATTTCTGTTTTACTTTTGCTAATTCCTGGCTTTCTTTATATAATCCTAGCTTTCTTTTGTATAATTCTTTATACAAAAATTACACAAGACAACAGAATGTTGATGTGAAAAATTCACTAGTTGAATGCTACATTATCTGGGCTGCAAATACATGTGGAAATCCCAAACTCCTTCCAGTCATCTAGTACTCATTCAGATTTCTGGAGCCCAGATAGTGTAGTCCAGCTCTACACACTAGCTAATTGCTTGTAATGACTGAAATGAAACTGAATTCAGGTTTATTTCTCTTTCTGGTTTTATACAATAGGAGGTAGCTATAATTTGCAAGCTTTGTGCAGACTTCTTCTATGTGTGGATCCATAGTTTAATGTTATTTCTTAACAAAAAGTTCATCTTGCTAACAAGTGCTTTAAATATACGACATTCTATAGAATTTGAGGAGAAAAATCTGTAGCTGAGAAAACTAGAGTGAGCTAGACAATAAGGATTTCCTCCCTTGGAAATTCTCTGTTGTCATTCCTATAACTCAGTAGTCCTCAAATTGTGGATTGCATCAAATACATGTTTTTCAGAAGATGCCAAGAACTGGCATGGCACCTCCAAAACTCTCAGGGAATCATGAAAGTTTCCAAAAGACTGACATGTGTCCTTTCTCAAAATGTAAGAGAAAGTAATAGAACTATTACTACTATTTAATTACAGCTAAATGCTTTGGCCAATTAAAACTTTAACTATGTATTACAATTATCCAGCTCTGCTTAATTAGTGGGGTTGAGCCCAAAGAACCACAATTATGATTTGAGAACAGTTGAACCAACTCTCTCCTTTCCTTTAGAAATTTTTAGAAGGTTAACTATTAACTGGAAATGAAACTATTTTTCATCCTATTGTGAAGGATGGGAACAATGGAAGATTAAGGAAAGTCCAGGAAGCCAGTTTGTTGTAGTGGTTAAGACATCAGGCTAGAAACCAAGAAACCACAACTTATCCAGTGGCGTGACTTTGGGCCAGTTACTCTCCGTCAGCCCTAGGAAAGAGGCAATGGCAAAACACTTCTAAAATCTTGCCAAGAAAACAGTAGGGAGTTGTCCAGACAGTTGCCAGGAGTCAAGACTGACTCGAAGTCACACACACACACACACAAAAAGGGTGGGGGGAGTCCACAACACAGGCATGATAATGAATATACAGATTTAGTGCCAGCTGCTGAGGTGACAGAAAGCATGCATACATAAATGTGTGAATAATTTCATACCAATGCATTTGCAAACCTCTTTGAGACAAATTAAAACTTGCCCCTCCACTGCAGTCACATGTTAAAAAACCCAGCCATGCTTATATTATTATTGAGGAATTCAGGGCAGCCTCCCTATTGTTTTTAATAATCACCTTGCCCGTAGATTAGGCTGGGAAGAGGTGACAGACCCTTGCCCACCTGGAAGTACAGGTTTCCCCGGTCCGAATCTGAGGCCCTCCCGTTCCACCTGGTGCCTTTACCATTCTCATCAGGCCCAGCCAGCATCAGCTATTGGGAGTTGTGGTGCCAATACAATGTAGTGCAGTGAGGATGGTTCCCTAACCTCTCCCATTTTCAACTTCTGTTGCTTCAAGGCTGAGAGCCTTTGTCTTAAACCAGCGTTTCTCCAACTTAGCAACTTTAACCTGTGTGAACTTCAACTCCCAGAATTCCCAGCCAGTCATGCAGGTTGGGGAATTCTGGGAGTTGAAGTTTACACATCTTAAAGTTGCCAAGTTTGAGAAACTGCCTTAAACTTTCTCTGGGGCACGATTACGAGGCAGAGTTCGGGGGGGGGGGGCAGAAACCATGCCAGGAGAAGCAGTGATGGAGGAAGGGGGGCCAAATAGCAAAGGTCATGGGGCAGCAGAGGTGGCAAGAAATGCAGGCAATATAATGAAGGGAGGGAAAAATGCAGATGAGAGTGAGGAGATGGGGAGCCAGGAGGAAAGGAAGGTGGTGGCCGCCATTTTAAACATGATTATTGTAACTCTTCCCACTCCTGCGCTAGAAAGAGAAGAGGCAGACGAAGCAAGCGAAGTTTTTTTCCATGTCAAGCAGGGAGGCACTTCCATCTCCCCGGGCAGACCCAGGAACTGAGGGAGCCACCAGGAGTCATGGGGACAAAGAGGATGCGGGAACGGAGTCCAGCGCAGAGAAGTTACGAGTCAGGAGGGAAGGGAGACGGGAATGAGCCGTTAGGTTAGCTCGAGGAGGTGAAAAAAAGGCACCAATTTGCGGGGGGGGGAGAAGAGAACAGCCTGCCAGGCGAAGGAAGTGGGGGAAGGGCAGCGCGAAGCCAGAGCGGCCGGCGGCGCGAGGGGGAGGGGCAACCTCGACTTGTGGGCGGGGCTAGCCGTGCGTGTTGAAGGGGCGCGCGGGTGGCATTCTCACCTCTCTCAGCTCTTGCGTTCGGTCCCTCATAGCTTTGTTTTTATTTTTTTTCACACCTCGGAGATGAACTCGCGAAGGGGCGGGGGAAGAGAACGAAGGGGACCCACAGCGCAGGCGCGCGAAAGGCTCGCGCGCTCTCTTTTCGGCAACTCCTCCTTCCTGGCAGCTCGATAGCTTGAGGGCAGGAATCCCCCTCGGCCGGAGAGCGACTGAGTAGCGCACCGTCCTGCTCTGCGCATGCTCATCTGCCGCGTCCCACCTTTCGACGGCCCGGTTTTCCCCAGTCTTCCCCCACAGCCAATAGAGAAACCGAAACAAGCAAACCGGAAATATACCAAACCCCAATAATGAATGTAGTACTCTATAAGGAGGGCTAGATAGAGACGGCCACCCCTTCTCTCTCGACCGGAAGTCGGTTCAACACAGGTATTCTTTTTTAAAAAAACAGGAAGTAATTTTAGACTCCGACTGGCTGAAACGCTACCTCGCGGATTTAATATGGCCGTCGCCGGAAGTCCATTTTCCTCGACCGGATGTCTTTTTTTAAAAAGTGGCTGCTAAAAAGCACCATAGAGCTACGTAAGTGGGTAGAATATCTGTTACCATACTATTGGGGCTTTTTGCCTAATTATTATTACCAATAGAGGCGAATTATTATTCCCGGCTAATTATTATTCCCGGTTAGCCATCCAAATAATTCACGTCCAATTATCTGAAGGATGAACTACTCAACTATATTTTCATGCCCACAGTCTTTCCTTAAGTAACCGCACTGCCGGTCTGTAGACAGTTTTAAAGATAAGGTATTGTCTTGCCACAAGCCAAAAAGCAACTAAGTCCTTTTCTTCACAAAAAGCAAATAGCCGCTTCTCTTCCGCGCTTCTTTTTAATTGCTGTCTTCCGGCGAGCAGAAATTCAGCCTGCAGGTACCATGATGGGAAACGCTTCAGGGACTGGATTTTTTTCTGGCTGTTAGCCAGCCGTTAAAACAATAAACGTAGCTGCCTCCGTCTTTATATGAAACAAAAAATGTTTTTCCCCCTCTCTCTGAGGCCTCATCGTGCTATTGTTTGTTTGTTTATTTATATTTATTAAATTTCC